AAAAAAGAATGTTTTAATCAAAGGGATAATAGAGGAGAAATCTTAAAAATACACAGAGGTCGGTTCTTTATGCCCCACCCGTTATTACTGGTAACATTTAGGTTTTTTTCTAAAGTACATTGATACAAAATAAACCGCTATAAATGGAAGACATGATTTTATTTAAGTAAACTGATATAAATAATATGCAGCTATAATAGAGACTTAATTGAGTTTTTAATTTAGTGAGAAACTGACATTTTAGAGGACTTATACGGTTATTATCAAAATATAATGAGCTTAACTTCATTGAAAATCACGTAGACTGATATTATGAACACAACCAGATGAATTTTTTACTAACGTAAATAGCAGAAGTCACACAATTATCAACACTATGAGTCTTTCAATGAATAATAATAATTGAATAAGTGATCATCTTTAAAAGTGATTGTAAATATGTCAAACCAAAAGAAGACATGATTTTGTTCAAATAAACTAAATTCAATAATTTTCTACTAGCATAGAGAATCGATAAATTTGTTTTTATTTAATTTATTTTATGTATTTATAAGCCACAGCAAACATGGCCATTTATTTATTTACAACTATTCATTGAGTGGTACATAGTGTAGTTTGTTGCATTGATGTTATTCATATATTCATCTGGCTATATTTTAAATATCAGTACATATTGTAGAATTGTATAGGAGAGTGCTGAATCCCAAAAAATCTCGTTGGTCCCGTTCCGTATGATATTCTGGATCGAAACATTTTCCAAAACAAAACATGATTCATCTAGTCGTAGTGTTAGTATATATATTTATCTATTCAGTTAAATTTATTATACTTTAATAAGAGTCGTATAAATAGATTGAAACTTTAATTTCTCTTTATAATACAAAAATGATCTATTTCTTTATTCTTGCTGAAAAACAAGCTGTGTCATTTTTTGAACCTTGTTCATGTGTTATATGATATATACAATGCTCTATAATGTTGTTCGAAGATTAGCAAGTACGTTATTCTTATTTTGTTTATTTATGAAGTAATGCGTTGTTTCTACTTTTTTTTCTTCTTTATTACACAGACAATAACAAAAGAGCTACATTTTTTTTTCACGAAAAACAAATATAAATATATAGAGATATTTCACAATATTAATTATAATGTCAATATAGTTTATTAAAAAACTGTCTAACTCTTGTTCGAAATGCAACACCACTAAAAGAATAAAGGAAAAAATTAATCGAATATGATGCATAAGAGATCAATTGTGTTAATAAAACTCCAATATAAATTAAATGCACAATTATTTGATCATCAATCATATTCGTATCATAAGCTAATAAATGTTTGTTTTCAGTTTTTGTAAAACTTTTAGTTTGAATAACAACAAAATTTTTTATTTGATTATTTGTTAAATTTTTTGTTTGTTTAAATTTGTCAAGTTCAGTATGTTCACTATAAACTGGTGCATCAATACCAGTATAAATTTTTAAAGCAATAATAAATAAATGTGCTGGTGCATTAAGTATAAGAAAACATGTCGAAACAAGAACAAGCATACGTGTAACACGAATTGATTGTGTTGTTTGAGAATTCTTATTCGAAATAAAATCTATATCTCTTGATAATCGTGATAATCGTCTTGGATTAAATGGATTCGATAATTTATGTTGATTTTTGTTCTTATTATCTCCTTCTGATCTAGTTGATTGACGAGAAATCGATGGTGATTGATTAATTGATAATACATCTGAATTTACTTTGTCAATTTGTAACTAAAAAATATAAATACATATACGTATATATAATAGAAATTTTTATTTAAATTTAAAACCTAAAAACATTCATTATATTAAAAAAGGTGTTTGATGAAAATACTCTTTTTTATTACCGTAAGCATACTTTCAGGGTAATTAATCTTTTATTTTTACATTTCTTAAATATTATCTATAATCATGCTGCTTTCATCTCATATCTACTTTTGCTAATACAACAAAATTTTTTTAGATGAAATCTATTATTAATTTCATAATTTTTTTTTTATCAAGTATGTAATTATATTGCTGTTTGACTTTCTTGTTTTCTTCAGAGCTTTATTTTTAACATTTGCGCTTCAAACTGCTTCCGATCTTGTTATTTACGCTATATGTATCTCATTTTCGTTAATGCTTGACAGCTTCGAACAGATAAAGAGCTGACAGCTCTACAATGATTATTATTTTCTTGAAATAAATTATAGATGTATGAATATATATTCAATTATTTACATACATGAAGAATTTTTTGACAGAATATTTTAGTTTATGAAAAAAATAAGAATTTATTCTAAGTACTAAAAAACAATGTGTTTCATTTTTCAGTTGTGTTCTCTTGTAAAATATTATTGATACATTTTTTTTATAATTAAGAATAATCTTGATATAAAATATTTTACAGATCTCATTTATTATATCTCTTCGATCAAAATAATCTGAACATAAATTTTCTCTTCATTCCTCATTCAAACAGAAGAAATTAACTTTCCTTGTATGAATGAATGAATGTAAAGAAAAAGTACGTGCCATTTATTTCGATCATAGAGATGATATATTTGTTTCTTATTAAAAAGACATACCATTGACATTGGTATTTCACAGGCTTGAAATTCTGCTTCATTTGAAATATTACATGGTGATCTTGGTTGACTTCTCATTATTGAAGTACTACTTTTATTACTTTTGATCGATGAATAAATTGGACTGCATCGTTTATCAATATCTGTTTCAAATAATGTACCATGTGAAGTAAGTGGAATACCATATGAATATGTTATTGAAAAACTATCTTTAGAACGATTATTTTTTCTGAAATTATAATGTATACCATTTTTCACATGTCTATTCGATTTTACTAATGTTGATTGTATATTAAACGGTGAACGTGCATGTTTTCGAATCAAATTAACAATAAATATATTGTATATTAAAATTAAAGAAAATGGAATGATAAATGAAATTAAAGCATCAGCAATAAACCAACTTAATTTAAGTTCTTCATGACAATCGATATATGTATTGCTATGCGATAATGCTGCACAAAATGTAACACTAATTATAAAAAGTAATACAAGATGAATAATTGGTGACGATCTTTCTTGAACAGCTGCTTGCAATGGATAACGAACAGCTGAATAACGTTGCACAGTAAATAAAACAGTAAAACAAGCTGAAAGTAATTCAGCTAAGTGACTAAGGAATGAAATGATTAAACAAAGATATTCCATTCTGCCATTAACAATATCATGAATAACTCGAATCAATAAAGCAATATTGTGAATAAGATCACTAAGAGCTAAATAAAAAGGAAAAAAAAAAAAAAAAATTAGTTCATTTTTTTATCACACATATTTCATTATAAATTCTAATTTTTCTTAAATCTATTCTAAATTTATCGAAAGAAATTAACACATGAATAGTTTTATAAAACAATTCTTTTATTATTATTTTTTATCAGAAAGAAATGAATACGGGTTTAGAAATCGTATGAAAATATATGTTAATTATCTTATATTTAAATGACAACAGTCATTTTTTTTTCTGAAATATAGTCCACGATATTCATTATACGTTTGGTTTGTTCTTATTTCTATATGATGATGTTCGTTTATGCTATCAACAACATAATAATTATTAATTATTTAGAAACGTAATAGTGAATTGTCTTTAAAGAGGTGAATGATTCTTAAGTATTTACAAAAAAAAAAAAAAACTACTTTCTAATGTTGCTTAATGGAAGATAGAGTGCTGCAGGTACAGCAGACTTTTCTAAGTTTTTGAAAATATTATTTGTTAATGATTTTCTAAATTTTAAATATGTAAAATTCAAACGAAGAAAAATTAAAAGTTCATATTCTGCAGCAACAATTATCAATGATTGTATGTTAAAAGATTGAATCAACAAGTTAAACTTCACCGCTGTTTATTAAATGATATATACATTCAACAGAGCTACCAAATGGCTGTTTCTTTAAAGAATTTCTTCAATTTGTTAATGTCATAAACAATGAGACTGATTATTTATGGCATTAGAAAAACATTGTTTTTTTTTTATAAGTTTGACTTTATTTTTGCTTTTCAGTATGTGTATTACTTTGATTATACGCAACTAAAAAAAATGAATATTGTTTTTTTTTTGTAAGAAACAATCATTTACACTAAAGAACATCAGTACATCTAAGTATCCGATGAAATTTATTCTTTTTTCTTTTTAGTCGTTATGTTAGTTTGATGATTATATAAATATATAATTGATTATGACTTCGGAGCAAAAGAGAATATTAGAAAAAAAGGAAAACATCAAACAACTTGACAGTTTGTATTATATTGTACTTAAAAGTTCTTTAATAAACTAAATTAGGACTAGACATTAATGACTTCATGTTATACGTACCTAATGCAATCAATGTCCATTTATGTCTAAGGTTTTTTGTAACAAAACCTTTGGATAAAAGTACAATAGTCGATGTATTAGTAATAAAACCAATGCAAACTATTATGAAGATGTAAGGCAATGTAATCTGAACCAAAATACTATGTATACTGCGAAATTTATGATAATAATTTGGTGTATCAATGGCCAATCCAACTGTTTTTGGTAGTGTTGTTGATACATTTGTCATTGTTAATTTTATCTGAAAAACAAACGCACCTAACTAAATGTTTTTGTCATATGTCTTGAAAATTCATTTAACTTCTGATATACTTGATCAAAGTCTTAGTATAGAAGTATTAGAGGTTATTACTTAAATATATCTAATATCTTCAAGATTTAGAAGATATGGGAAAATTAGTCAATATAAAATAATAACTTGTGTGTTGTACAAGCGATATATATTGTTTGAAATGTGTACACTTATTGTAATTATTCAAAACGCTAGGTAAAGTCTATTGTCGTACTATCGAACAGTACTGTAGGAGAAAAAAAAAGAAGTATCTCAATATTCGGTTATCCTTCAATATAGGATCTTGTCTAAGGATATTTTCGTAAATCCGATATCAATGGCACAATTAATACTAGCCGTAGTTCTGAAGAGAAGGTCAATATGACTCAGACATTTTCTATCCAAACATTCGAGTTCATCATTTATACTGACAAACTAAATACTACTCACAAGAGTCAATGCACATGATAATGTAACCAGCATATTATTTGACGGAAGCTCAGAAACAACCAGCTGTTAATGATTTCTTTAGGATAATCTCATATCTGATGTCACCTAATTTCGAACATGATACTTTGGTAGTGCGTATACCAAATAATTTAATCACTAAGCAGTGGCGGTTTCAGTATGGTATAACCTTTAATATTAATAGATTTTGATAGCAGACTTTTAAAAAATTGATTTCATACTTTGACTATATTTAATTCATATATAATTTTCTTTTTGCGCATTTATAAAGTATTTCTCTATTACTTTTTTCAATATAGTCTATCAGATAATTATTATATTTATATTTATCACAGTAGCATGCAGTAATATGACCGATTCGCCTTATCTTTAAAACATCTGCTCATCACCTCTCACAATCTTACTGATCTTCATCAAAAGCATGTTGTACACTGTTACTTATCGAATTTCACTAACATAAAAATCAGCTCTCTTAAACTATCCGAACATCATGTTCTACCTTTCAAAACAATTGTAAAAATACAAATACTACTCAATGTCATCTGACTTAGGTTTCGTGACATTTTCAGTTATGACGATGCTGTATGGTTTCACATTCATGGTACCGTCATTTTTTGTAGTAATTATGTATATATATTGAATAAAAAAAGATTTGCTCGAATAAAAAGTGTAATTATCTACACAGTAACAAACTTCATTTGATTATGCCACTGACATTTATATAACATGTAGTTATTGATAAAAATAGAATACAGTTAAGTTTCATCTATATTCTGATAAGCATATTCATTCTCATAAGCTGTTGATAAACTTTAATTCAATCTACAAGTACTTTCAAGAGGAAACATAGAAGAACTTTCAAAAAGCTGAAACATAATATTACTTTTTAAAAAATTTATTAAAAATAATTGCAACTGTATAGAAAAGAGAAAATAAATAAACATATATATGAAACGTTCATTTATTCAGTCTGTTTTATACCTTCTGTAGTATAATAAATTTTACCCAATAGTTCAGGTTACTCTTGACATGTGTATTCTTATATGTTCGACATTTTCAATATTTCTAATATATATTATATTTTTTTTCTATTTATATATCTCTTTTTGTTGATTATATACAGATAAATATATATATATATATATATGATCTGGGCAATATTACAATTATTCGACATACATAAATATTTGCATCTTCAACATGTCAAACATCCCCTATAACACCATGATCAGGAAAAGCTCAATAGAAGACTAAGATATCTTCAGAGAAACTAATTGAATTTCTAATAAATCTATAGACAACACCATATGACATACCTTCTCGTTTGATGAAGTATGCTGCCTAAAATGTAATGATAATGATTATGTAGAACAGGTTGTTCTTTATTTTTCTTCGTTCCTTTTCCTCCTCCGATGTTTTCTCTTTGTGCCTGATGACTTTTTTCTTTTATTTTTTTTATATCTTTTCTGTTCGTCAGTTTTTTTTTTATGTTAGTTAGCATCTGCTGTAATGAAACGAAGATTAGCATTCATGTCTGAAACAATCAAAACTAATTAACATACAAGATTAATACGTTATGAAAGTTATTTTAGAATAGATTGTTAATTCTGAAATATGTTTAATCTGTAAAAAGCTTGCTAGATTTTATATCAATTATTATCATTTGAAGTTATAAGCAATAATGTTTTAGTGCTATTAACAACGAGGATTTATTTTTATTATCACAGAAAAAAATGACGAGATTAGCACCATATACTCGTTTTACAGATTTATTACAAGTCTTCTTATAAAAAATAACTGTGAATAAACAAAGAATTTTCTATATGTTCTATAGAATTGATCTAAAAATAATTTTTTTTGACATATATTGAGAAAGAAAAGATGTCTGCAGTGAATATAATAAAATATAAAAACAGGAAACTATGACAAAAGACAGTACTATGTTTATGGTTTTGATGAATATTCTATCATTAAACATGAAACTTATGTTGACGAATTTATTTGAGAGAATAGTTATTATTATTGAGTACTCTATTTATATATTCGCATTGCCATTAAAATAAATCATTATTTACTACTGATAAGTTATAAATAAAATATAATTACTCTGCCATAAAGTCTTTGATGTTTGCGGATTTTTAAATAATTATCTGTTATCATAAAAACATCTATCCAAAACCCATTAATTTCAAACATGACGTCAAAAATATATACAAAAAATGAATAAATAACATACGACATGTAATATGTTTATCAATCTTCCCTTGATTTAACAATCATTCAAATGTAAAATTATTTAGCTCTGAAGGTGTCAACACATGAAAGAAACCGCCTATGATCGGAATAGAAACTGATTAAAATAATGATTATTGAAATATTACTGAATAAAAATGAACGTTCAACATTTAGATGAAGTGTATATTTTGTTTTTTCTCCTATATATTGTTGATGGCTTTAGGAAACAAATGAAGGAAACAGGAAATGTTTGGCAAGCGAAGTAAAAGATTATGGAAGATTGAACAAGAGATAAATGATAAAGAGGATAACAATAAGCTTCTTTTTAGTCAAAATTAATCGAATACATGCCTGAATTTACTCTTGATAGATTTTCAACAATCGTAAATTTTCACGCAAGGTATTCTAATTAATAATTGTTCTTTTTTCTCTCCAATATGTTTATGCAAAATAAAAAACTATATTTCACAATTTGATATACAAGTTTATATTCATGTGTAAATGTCGAAAGACAAAGTAATTCAGACAAGCCACCTGTTTCCTTTCAATCGTATCATTCTAATAGAAATGAATTCCTTAAGAAAAATCTTTTATCGAGGTTATACTCTTCTCTAGGATGCAATTACACAATTTTCATTGAAAATTATTCTTTTGTGTGTTGCCTGAATATTTTATTGTTCTAGTTCAGTAAGGAAACACAATTTCATCAGTAACTTATAAAGAAGATGATTAGAAAGATTTACTTTTTCTTTTGGCATTTATAGAATATTCACTTCTATAGAATTGATATTTTCTTCTAGCGTATAATTATATTTGACCTGGGTATTAAAAAACAAAATATCTCTGTCTATGTAAATATATGTTTATTAAAACATAAAAAGAACAAAAATTTAGACAAGGCATCATTACTAGTTTATTTTAAGATTCATGGATTATGCTTAATTTTCCGTAATAATACACCATTGTCATGAAGACTTTTTTATAATTCTTTTTGATAACGTTTAGTCTTTCAATAAGGAAAAAAGGGCTTAAAATAAAAAATATCTTAATTTAATCACTGCCTTCATCAATGCTGGCATATAAAGTATTCAAGAGTACTTTTTATCTTATTGCTGATATTACTGACCTCATGATTGTATTAAAAGATCGAAAATCTTTGAAATATGAGTGAATATAACATAAAAAAAATGAGAAAAATAATCATAAACTGTTCTAAGAATTTTATTTGTCTTGTATTATTCAATAGATCACTTGTTTTTGATACATTAAATATCTATACGATTACATAATTGTTATGTATGACATCTGTTGATAACGGACATTTTAATGAGGATTTTATTTTCATAGTTTACGACTACTTGATACTTAACTTGTCAATTATTCTGTATTTTCTAAACCAATAATTCAAAAAGAAATGACGTCATATCATTTAGAATGAATTCTTTTAGATTTGTTTTATTTTCTTTTTAATCGTCTATATTTTATGTAAATTTTGAACTTTTTAATATTATTTTTCATAGATTAATTAAAATAATCAAATTAAAAAATGCCAAAAAATAAAGGAAAAGGTGGTAAAAATCGTCGTCGTGGTAAAAATGAAAATGATGATGTAAAACGTGAATTAATACTTAAAGATGATGGACAATCTTATGCACAAGTAACACGTATTTTGGGTAATGGTCATATTGAAGCATTTTGCTTCGATAGTACAGGTGGAAAAAAACGATTATGTCATATTCGTGGTAAATTACGTAAAAAAGTATGGATTAATCAAGGAGATGTTATTCTTGTTGGACTTCGAGATTATCAAGATGATAAAGCAGATGTTATTATGAAATATCTTTGTAAGAAACTAATTTATAAAGAAAAAAACAAACAATCACAAATATCTTTGTTGTTTCTTTTTTTTTTTTAAATAGCTGATGAAGCTCGTGAACTAAAGCGTATTCATGAAATTCCTGATAATGTGAATATTACCGAAACATCAACGAACAACAATGATGGATTCGAAGATGTTGTTTTCGATGATAGACACAACAGTGATGAATCTAGTGATGAAGAAGAACTGCCAAGAAATGTAAATGTTCGTGCAGCTGCCGACGATAGTCTTTCTGAAGATGATTCAGATAATGATGATGATAATAATAATTAATCATCTTTTTCATGACAGTAATTTATCATCATAACATTGATTTGCTTAATAAAAGTTAAATATCGAGTTTCTTGATTTTGTTAGGATAAGCAGTGTTACTTTT